CTTCCTCATATTTCACCTGTTACGTCTCTGGTCGTTTGTTAATTACTCGTAATAATTCTTTCCGAAGAACTTCAGCGATACAAGTATTTTCTTAAATAAAACTAGTTTATTCTTTTTCAATTCAATTTTGCAATACACTTAATTTCCCAGTCACATTAACTTAAACACACGCTATAATTCACAACGAACGATTCACGCATTTTACCGCGCTTGACTCAATTGTCCGTCTCTATCTCTGCCTGTCTGCAATTCAATTCCGATTACTTATACTTATACTCTGGGTGGTAATTTTGGTTACGTCCTTTCAACCTCAACGTATTTCGGAGAATTCATTTTTAATACTTTTTATAAATGATATTTCTATCGAGTAGAGGATGAATACATTGAGAACTCTCATATTTTTGCAGCACAGTGAAATAGTTTTTGAGATTACCAGTATACAATGGATGATTTAAACAGTCTTTAGTTTACCAGATCACAATGAAAGAACTAAAACAGTCTTTAGTTTATCAGTCTATAATGGATGATTTAAACAGTCTTGAGTTTACCAGATCATAATGAACGATTTAAACAGTCTTTAGTTTACCAGATCACAATGAAAGAACTAAAACAGTCTTGAGTTTACCAGATTACAATGAAAGAACTAAAACAGTCTTGAGTTTACCAGATTACAATGAAAGAACTAAAACAGTCTTGAGTTTACCAGATTACAATGAAAGAACTAAAACAGTCTTGAGTTTACCAGATCACAATGAAAGAACTAAAACAGTCTTGAGTTTACCAGTCCGCAATGAAAGAACATAAAACAGTTTTGAGTTTACTAATCCATAATAAATGTCCTGAAATATTCTTGGATATACCATTCGACAGTATTCAAAATATTTATGAAGAAATGTTTGAAACATGAATCTAACCATGTCGCTATTTCAGCGAAAACGTCGCAAAAGCATGCATGCCTATAGCAGAACTTTTACTTGTTATCTTTTCTTTTCCACAGATAGAAATTATTTTTGTTCCTCGATCACTTTTTATTTTTCTAAAGTCTTATTTGAGGCTGCTGATAGAAATTATTTTTGTTCCTCAGTTATTTTTTATTTTTCTAAAGTCTTATCTGAGGCTGCTGATAGAAATTATTTTTGTTCCTCAGTTATTTTCTATTTTTCTAAAGTCTTATCTGAGGCTGCTGATAGAAATTATTTTTGTTCCTCAGTTCTTTTCTATTTTTCTAAAGTCTTATCTGAGGCTGCTGATAGAAATTATTTTTGTCCTCA